TCCATAGGGAGTCGCGCCAAACAGTTTGGAAAACGCTGCATTGCAGTAATTGAAATATGTACAACAAGTGTACGTTCGTTTGAACATTAAGTAAGTTGATGCGAACGAAGGCATACGTTTCTACCAATAGTTTAAGAAAAAAATAAGATTTTTTATATGGATTTTCATTTAATTTATAACTATATAGTGTATTTATGTAAGTTAACCGAACACTCACTGACTGCGGTGGAAATCGCAAGCCCGACAACCGAAATCCCCTCTATCGAAATCCCGAAGTTCGAAATTCCGACTATATCGAAATCCCGGCTACCATAAAAATGTTATTGTAGAAATTTCGATATAGTCGGGATTTTGATTGTCGGGATTATGGTAGTCGGGATTTCAAGCGTGGGGATTTTAATACAGCCGGGATTTCAAACGTCGGGATTTCGATACAGTCGGGATTTCAATAGACGGTCTTTCGGTTGTGGGGCTTGCGATATAGACTGTATAATCTATAATCTATAATCTAAAATGAACTTATCATAACGTACTTTCTGAGAAAACCAGACAAAATTTGTGAAATTTTCTTTAAAGGATCTTACAATAATTAACACATTTGAATCTTAACAACTTTGACTGTTTTCAATAAATATTCTATGAAAAAACTAATGGAATAATGGATTGTATTCTTGTGATAATATGTTTAAAAAGTACGGAAATAAATCTATTGTACAGTTTGTGGAATTCGCAATAAATATTCCTTTTCATACTGTAATATCATCAATCTAAGCGGGTTTAAAAACTAAACGAGAAACCTAACCTGTTAATAATATCTCCTTAAACAGCTATTATATAGATTAACTAAATAAAGTATAGAACTAATTTATCTATATGTAATAGATATTTTATGAAATAACTAACAGTATAATGTTTACAGGAAAAATTGAAAAAAATGAAACAATTCGATGAATTTGCAATAAATATTTCATTTGAAAATGTAATTCAATCCATCTGGTGGAAATAAAAAAAAACGACTAATGGAAACCAATTTCAATCTACGTACATGAAATTGATAATATGATTAAAAAAAAAACAAATTAAAAAAAAATAACAAAAATAATAATACAATCGAAATATATTACAATCAAAACAGCAATAAAATATTTGTAATTTTTACAAATCCTCAATTAATCAAAATAGTTCAAAGTTTATGCATTCGAAATATATTTACTAGTAATATATAGATTAAATTTTATAAATACATATAAAAAATATATTTCTAACATTGTAATAATAAAAAATAGAAAAAGTTATTTTCTATATATCTACAATGAAACGAATAAACTGATTATAAATTATATAATTGAATAATAGAGAGAAATGTAGAAAACAATTATTTGATTCTATTTCTATTAAAAATTCCCATAAAAATTGACAAATGAAAATTCTTAAAGTTGAGGTTTTCTTTAAATTATAAATTTTTGTTTGTTGATGGAAACAAATTAATAGCCGAATGGTTAAGTCGCCTACCCACAATCGAATAGGCGCCGGTTCGAATCTTGGTTAAGCCAGGCCCTTTGTGTCCCATCTCGGTGCTTGCAGCAATAGGGCCATCGTTCATTACAGATGGACAGTCAAATGAATGAGATTTAGCATATGGACCTTCAGCCAAGTCGAAGGACAATAACAGTGTTAAGGATAGCAGCAGATTCACAGTGAAAGGAAATAGTGGAATCGTAGAGCATCAATATACTACGGAAGTTAACGTACAAGACTACGCCAACCAACAAATTAAAAAATCAAATCATCATAATGGTAACTATCCACTGGGAAAGATTATCCATTTAATGTCAACCGCGATCTTAAATTTACGCAATGTTCATTGATGAACAGATTTTGAATAAAATATATTTACGAAGTATCTTTTGATGATACTATAATAATAAGAATAAAAAAAATGTAGACGGATAAATGAAACAATGTGAAATAAGCTTATTTTATAGGTATAAAGGTGTATATTTCGTAATGATCTTATCCTGGAAAATGCAATGACCGGTAAATGAATTTACTAATTAACCGGAAGAGCTATTTGTCTAATGGCCATGTTTACGGCTGATGTCATTATTAACTTCATTAAACCTACTTAGCTTATTGAAGAAAATAATAATCCTGGCTATCAAAAGATTGCGATCCTAATGGATACACGGAATGTTAATCAATGGATTCAAAGTTATTACCTTAATTCTAAAACGGAATAAAACGAAGATTAAATAATTAATTATAAGATTATTTAATCTTCACCATAATTTATTAATTTATTTTTCCTTAATCATATTTTTATAGTAATTGAATTGAATATAAGAATTTTTGTGCACAAAATAAATGATGATTTTGCATTTCTTGCATAATATGAAAGAGGATTTGGAATAACCTGCGAAATATGGAACGGAAGGTAAGCAAAAGTTCTTCGTAATAGAAAATATGAAATGACTGTTGGCAAAATGGAAAAAGTGTAATCTCCATATAAAATATAAATGCGAACTCATATTAGGAATATATGCAGATTTTTCAGTAACCACATTTTACATAATATATGAAAAAGGAAATAGTAAATGTAGTAAATAACGACGAGAAGCTACAAAACCAAACTATTTCGCTAGATAGAAAAAGTTATTTATTACAAAACAATGTTTAGTAATTATACTTGTTTTTATCCTGTAATTTTCTTGATTTATTATTTACTTTACTTTTTAACTTATTTTATAATACATTAATAATAATACTGCAAAATACAACTTTAATAAAATATTATTTCTTAAGTTTATATAACCTTTCAAAATAATGAGCTGTATGAGTAAATAATTATTACACTCAATAAATATGATTAGTTCTATACATAATGTATTGGTTTTCACGTATATTTCATGAATTGACTAGAAAAAAATATATATCAAAGGAATACAGTTCAAAGGTCGTATATGAAAAGATGTTTATTTTCGTTTCTCTCTGTACTTCGTTGTTTATTTATTTTAAATGAAAATAAGTTAAATAAACTCATCATTAAATAAACGTTTATATATTATTTTTGCATTGTAATCATTTACAGTTGCATAAATAAATTGAATTTAAACCCTATTTAAAATTAATTGCATTTGTTTACTGTTTTGAATAAATGTTCAATTTTATTTTAATAATCAATATTGTTTTACTAAAAATATTATTTTGTGAAGTTTCAATGAACAATATTTGTATAATTAATGAGTTTCTAATAATTATTGAAATTAGAAAAAAATAATTTATATTTCTTTATGCAGATAAACTTTATAGTAGAAAAAAATTACGGAAATTGACTGAAAGTCAATAAATTGATTAAAAAAAAGTAAAATAATAATGATTTAGAGCAGCGGTCGGCAAACTGCGGCTCGCTGCGGCTCGTTAGAACTTAGATATGGCTCTCAATTTTTTATTTTAAAATTTCAAGTAATATTATATTTTTTAACAATTTTAAAGGTAAAAAATACATTATTGGCTTTCAACTGCTTTTAAATTTGCGTGTGGGTTAGGTTCTTGTCAAAAGTTTGTTGACCCTTGATTTTGAGCATCAATAACTTTTATTAAATTTTTTTAGTAACCTAATAAATCTCAGTAATATGAATAATATATGAAAAATTTCTTAAACTTTCATATATTTCATCAGGGTAATGATTTGTATGTGAAGAAAACCTCTCATAGTGCGGGTTCGCGGGTAATTTTATAGAATATATTTTTTATTTTGTCAATTAAAATTTAGTTTCTTCTGAAATTTTCAAACCTTACTTCACAAAGTACATTTTTTTTTCTAAAATTTAGTAATTATTGAGTTATTTATTTATTTAATGGCATAAATAGGAATATTTACATGTAATAAAATTTAAAATTTCTTATATAATTACATAAATAATTGCAGTTAAATAATTAATCATTTCATTACATTTTATATTAAAAGTAAAGTACATTATGTACATAAAAAAATGTATTTAAATGTCTCTTGTAAACATATTTTATTTACTTTTATATGATTTTTATATAGCAAAGAAAATAATTTGCATGACTTATTATGAATAAACGGCGATAATGTAAAGAAAAAGTTGTCAAAGTTACATTTCGTTCGGATGTTATAAATTTAAAGTGTTTGAATTCAACAAGTTTTTTTCCTGTTTTGACTTAGTTAAGGATCTAATTTATGTAAATGAAGAGAGATAGAGCTGTAATAAATTTAAAACTTAACGAGTCTGATGGAATTATTGTAGGGTATTACAGGTGCTCCGGCTGAAAGATATCGCTGAAAGACTGTGATGTGGGGGTGGCACGAAGTCGAGGAACGTGTTGTGCACGTACAGAGGAAAGGACAAATTTGAGCTCTCGTGAAATAAAATCCAACTAAGCGAAAAACTCAACAGCTATATATGTGCCAGGGTACAAGAGCTTGTAGAATCTGAGAAGAGTATGTGGGTGGTAGAATGCGTGGTCCGGAAACATCTACGAAATTGCCGCCATTGAATTGACACCGAATAGGGACGTGTTATAAGGATGGGATGTTATAGACGTCGAAGGCACATCTTCATCCTTCCACCCACAAAACCGGCCCCTCTTGGATTTAATTTTCGCATCCTCGTCTCTAATTAACACCATTCCGATTGTATTCCGAACGTGTTTTATTCTCTCTTTCTCTCTATTTCCACTCGTTTTTTTTCGCTATTCTGCGTGCAAAAACATGTCGATGTTACATTATGGGTAGAGAGGAATACCGTAATTGGACTGCACCGAAAATGCAGCTTTTATTGGAATTGGTTTTGGCGTGCGGGTCAGAGCTTTATTAGTTTTCATCAGAGGCGCGTATTCATTTCACAGGAACCTCACGCGTTGAATATGCATAACATATTTATTTTTGGAACAATGGTTACCAGTAATTACCGATCCACTACAGATTGGCTAATCTCCATGCAAATCACGCAAACATTGTCAATAATCACACTTACCTATTACGGTCAACATGTGGCTTTCCGAATCCTTGCTGAAGATAGGCGTCTCCATGGAAACCACGCACGAGTATAGACCGGAAGCTGAGAAGTCCAGTTTAGACAGTTGCAGTTGCTTCTCGTTGCTGTAGTTCTTCTAAAAAAAAAATGTGAAAAGAAAAGTTGGATTTAGAATTGAGGCTGCGTTTGATTTTCGCGTTGGAGACGCACCCCACTTTCCATGATCCTAATTACATTTTCCACGACCGCCAACATAATATTCAAAAGGGAGCAGATTTTGATTTATTCACACCTCCGCCACCCATCCCACCCTTTTAACATTTATGTTACACCGAAAGAGCCCTACCCAAGTTGTTGCCAAAGTACTGGGCGCCCGGATTTACATATCGCCTCGGCGGCGGAAATAATTACGCCCGTAATGCAGTAGCTTATTAAGGAATTATCGCGTGAAATTGGCTTCTGAATAATTCCCTTACGGATTTTAAACGAATATAGTGAGTTACAGTCATACTTACATCATACAAACAATATTTATGTGATGATTATAATTATTCAACACGGAAACACATGATTTAAAACCAAATATTATTCTGCCTGATAGATTTGAAAGTTTGTTAAATCCCGGGAATTACCGGGTTTTATTTGAATATTAAACCTTTTTAAATATAAACCAATTTTATTATATATAAATATGATTTTTTTAATTAAGTAAAAACTAAACAGGATATAAATGTTTAATTTAACAAAACGTATACATTTTTAAAATAAGATTTAAAAAACATTGAAAATTTACAGAAGAAAATCATGAGAATTAAAAACTACAAATTAGACATGAAAACAAGTAATATGTAGTGTTTATTGTTATATAAATAGGTTACAGAAAAGTAAATATAGCGATAAAAATTTATTTAAGTTAGTAATAATTGTAGTTTCAAAATGTAATTTTTATAAACGGATTTGGTTTTTATTAATATCCATGATAACTAATATTTAATGTATAGTATTTGTTGACAAAAAGTGTTATTACAATTTCTATTCATAAAATAAATCTAAAATAATAACAGTTGTGAATTCTCACATATATTTATTTGTATCTAGTTTAATATTTAATAGTTTATTAGGTAATTCAATAAATTGTCATTTGTTATAATATTACTATTGTATAATAAAAGCACACATTTCATTTTCACGTACAACACTAAATTGATACATGTACATTAGTATAGAAGATGTTATCCATATAACATGCAATAATGTTTTGTATTGATGATTGATGATCTAACCTCGATTAAATCGTATAATTGTCCGAGATTCCTACTTGATTTATAGACTGAACTACATAATTAAGTTGAAGTAAATATTATACGCAATTTAATCATACAAAATAATTAATACGAATGATCTTAAAAAAATTTACTAATATTTAGTCTTTCTCATTTTTAAATGTCAAATTTCAAGTAAACTATACTTTATTTACTTCATATTATATAATTTTGGTATTCAACGACAAATATAAATATATATGATAAAACCTCTGTTCCCGAACAATTCGGTTTTCAAGCAGAAAACTGTTGTAAAACCGAATATTGGTTCTTTAATAGAAAATATGTCAATCTACAGCGAATTCGGATTTCGAACACTATTTAATAATTTATTATTTTCAAAAACATGTCATTAATTATTTATAATATTAATATTTATATTGATATTTAAATCAATGATATATACGCCAATACCTCTGTTCCCGAACAAGTCAGTTGTCAAACATAAAACCAAAATGAAAACGCTTGTGTTTGCAAAATTGGGTATTGGTTTCCTAACTGAAATAATGTTTATCGGGCGTGTGAGATATATAGTAAGCATAATGGATTCGGTTTACGAACAAAATTAAATTAATACATTGTTTTTGAAAACAGAGTTAACTTGATATAAATTATATATAATATTCAATATTATAAAACATATTTTATATACATAAATTTATATAAGTTTGGTATTTCAATCTGTCCTTCAACAATTCGGTTCTCAAACTTAAAAAAAAAGAGATTCGGTTGCAGAATAATGTGATTCTCTTATAGAAAAATTGACAATCAGGTATTAAAATTCGGTTTTCGAACAACTTTTAGAAATTAATTATTTTAGAAAAATAGAATTACCATTGTAAGTAACAGGATATTAGTTACATGTAATAATTAAAATGTAATTAAGCAAACTTACACTTATGCTAATAAAGTACTTACAACATACTTATATTAAGTACGTAGACAATTTTGTGTACGGTCATGACTTGTTAAGAGCTATCGACTTATAAAGTATCAGCAAGTTTTTCGAGAATTAATTTCAACACGCTTCACCTGTAATCTTCTGCTCATTAATAAATCATAGTCAAAATATAGTTTATTCTATAATCCAAATGCATTACATTTTATTATTTAATAATTATAAAATTAATATAGTTTAATTAAATAAAATAAGGATATCTAAAGAAAAGACAATTTTTGTTGTTGTTAATGGAAATAGGATGTATAAACTTTTTAAAATTAACAGTTAGATTTTTGCTGTATTTACTTTAAAGATAATTAGAAATTAAACTGTTGAGTATAAACAATTATTTTTTTACTATTTGTGAAGTTGACCTAATGTGTAATAAGTTGTAAAGTATTCAGTTTTTATACTGAAAACACAAATATTTAGACCAATTTTATATAACAAATATCAATATAAGTTTTGTAGTAATGAAAAGTTTGGTCGATAATCTAAATAAAAATGTGTAAATAAATAATAAAAATGTTTATAAAAAATGATTTATATTAATATTTTATAATTAAATAAAAATTTATTTGTATGAAATTCGATTTTGGTTTTGTTAATTATAATGATTATGTGTGCGAACGTAAATGATTTTTTTGTAATATAACGATGTTAAACTTTATTGATTCATAACGCATTCATTTACGAAACATATAAAACCACTAAATATATAATATGGCGGATAATCCGTACATTTTTAATGCTACACACATATATTTTTTGCTACAGCCGCAAGGTAATAAAATTCAAAACGTATGAAATTTATGTGTCAGAAAATGCAAAATTATGCGATAACCCAGCGCATCCACCAAATAAACCCGTTACGTAATTGCACACCATTCGCCCCAAGTCTTTTTCGTTTATTTAGAGCATAATTAAAACATAGTTTCAAATGTCTTTTGCCGTTCTTGATGATGATGTCCGCAAAATCTTTAACAAGCTAATTATGCAAATTGAAACACACGTCCTCCCACCACCCCCTTTTGTTCTTTTGCATGTATCTTGTTCTGTTATTACCAGGGGTTGTTTTATATCAGAGGGCGGCTAATCCCTTTAAGCCAATTATGCCCGGCTCCGAGTAAAACAAACCCTCTCGGACAAAGAGAAATATGTTAATGGTATTTTTCTCCACCACATTCATTTCCTAAAACCCTTTACTTATCCTTACCCAAAAATAAAACAAAAAATAGAATTAAATGAAACAAAAATGCTACAAATAAATAAAAACGGCTAAAGATTAAAACAAAACATCTTGAAAGGAAAAAAACAACATATACACGAAATTGTGCCGCTTTTTATGCGCAGATTCGTATTCATATTTTATGGACCGCATAATTATTGGGGTGAGGATTATGAATTCATGTTTCCTTCGTACTTTCGTTATTAATATATCATGAATATTTAAATTGTTGTTTTTTTCAGCTTCTATGATTGTGTAATTCTGAAAATAATATACAGTAATTAGAATCTTTGTATAAAATTAACATTGTCAATTATCTTTTTAAATGATAAAAAAAAATGTCTTCAAATTTTTTCATTATCCGATTAAATTTATGCATTTTAATTACAAAATAAAATGGAACATTTACATTCGATGGCAATATTAAAAAATCCTATAGTATTCTGTTAACGAATGTAATCAATTGAGACATGTTCGATACCCGAATTGTTTGTTAACTGATCATGGATTTACCATAGATTTTTTTAGACATGCCAAAAAATACAAACGCACTGTAAGATTTCCGTTTCCAGATTTGTTCACAATCCAATTGTCTGTTAACTGATTACTTATTGTATATTAATTACAAAGAAATATATAAGAAAATTAATAAGAAATTTTGTTATTCAAACTTTTTTTAGATGTCCGAATCTTTTTATTAAAATATGAATATTAAACACAGATGTTTCCATGATTACTACAAATATTACATTACTAAAATGTTTTGTTTTTCTTCCTCTTAATATTACGTAATAAGTCCTAATTAATAACAATGTCGAAATAGTTTTAGTGAATCAGTAACAAAATGTGTATAGTTACAATAGTAATAATGAATCTCGGAAGATAATGCTTAATGTAGGGGATTAAGTGTAACAAAAAGTAGACTAAGAGGTTAAAGCCATAAAAGGAAATGCTGGTCATTCAGATTAGGGTCCGTTGCGTAGTTGGGCGATACAATCTGGACGAAATAAATTCGGCCGAAACGAATTGACCCGAAAATAATCGCGGATTAGCGGCTTACGCTTTAATTGCGCACTTATGTAACGGACGTTTCGCATGATTAAGTGGCGAACAGGTTTTTTTCCTCTCTTCCTCCTGGGGTTCTGTGTAACAGCCGGGACCCGTGAAAGAGCCGAGCTTAAATCTTACATTGCAATCTCAAACTTTGAGAAAGAGGGAAAACGTATAAATTAAGCTACGTATAATTAAAATTCACAAGAAGTTCTGAGATGCCACAGACGTATAACATATTTTTTTTTAATAAATAAAAATCAAAAATTACTTATTTTAACGTTATATAATATCATTTTGTTGAGAATGTTGTTCTAATGTTTGATAAAAGTTAAGCAACGGCTTTAGAGGTTTATAATTAGATGAATGGTCTACATTTTCATTTGTAGTCACGATGATGTCAGGTATTTGTTACAATTTCATGTATTAATATTACATATATATATATCAATCAACATTTGGACCACGTTATAAAAATGAGAAACAACCTGTTGTATAAATCACTAAAACGTGAATAAAATTCTGATATTCGGCAATTAGCCTCACTAAATCATGGAAATCCTTCAACTTCTGGTCTATGTCATGATGAACTCCAT